TACCATAAGATCTATTTTGTGTTAATTTAACATTTGATGAACTCTAGGTTTCCACCCATGAATATTACACTCTTTTGACAAATTGTTTTAAAAATATATGGTATTTTCCAAATAATTATTAGAAATACATCATGCAACAATAACTTCGTAGGTTCTTCACATCGAAATCAAATTACCTCGTACTTCTTCTATTTAATTACATCTATTTTGTGTTCATTTGATATTTTAAATCTATATGTTTAAATGGATTGACAGGAAATATTCCAAATGAAATTGGAAACCTATCAGCACTTGTAGCTCTAAATTTTGAGGAAAACGGTTTCACTGGTACGTAACTAGATCTCCTAAACTTGTTTTATATATTAAATTGAGTATTCTAAAAAGCGTAAAGTATAAAGAGTCATTAATACCAAACTTCGAGCTGTTACTAGCCTAAATGTGCTCGACATTACCAATATAAAATATTGCTACACGTCAAGGCCCCGGATTCATGCATGGACGATCCTTTTAGAACACTCATTAAATATATTTCAATTTGATAATTTAGTCACGACAAATATTTATAACAAAAATCTAAATTTAAAGTTCATATATAACAAAGATTTTAATGTTGAAGGAAAATCTTAATGAAAACTAGGTTACCACATAGGCATTTTACAATTTTTGACAAATGGTTTTCGACATGTATGCACTTTCCAATTAATTATTAGAAATACATCACGTGACAATAACTTCATAGGGACGACATTATCGAATTCAAATTAGTTAGTACTTCTTGTGTTTCATTAGATCTATTTTGTGTTAATTTAACATTTGATATTTTAAAATCAACAAGTTTAAATGGATTGACAAAATATATTCCAAATGAAATTTGAAACCTATTATCACTTGTATATCGAGATTTGGGGCCAAACGGTTTCAATGGTATGTAACTAGATCTTCGAAAATATATATATTAAATTCAATGTTCTAAAAAGAGTAAAATGTTACTAGACGTCAAGGTTAAGCTTCGGAGTTTTACCAGCTTAAACAGGCTAGGCATACAAAAGTGGACTATGTGGCTAGGTGATAGGGCCAGCTTCATGCCTAAACGCACTTTGTAGAATACTGATTAAATCCATTCGGTTTTTTTATTTAGTTTCACGACAAAGATTTATATCAAGATTCTAAATTTAAAATTTTCATATACACCAAAGATTTTAATGTTGATGGAAAATCAAAATGAACTTCAGCTTACCACCTAGGTATTTTAGAATCTTTTTGACAAACGTTTTTCAAAATGTATGCCATCTTCCAAATATTTATTAGAAATACATCATGCAACACTAACTCCGTGGGTACTTAATTATCGAATTCAAATTAGTAGGTACTTCTTCTCTTTTATTAGATCTATTTTTTTTTAATTTACAATTTGATATTTTAAAATCTATATGT